TTACGTAAAATAATAATAGTCTTACGTGTATAAAAAGCTAAGGTAAATTAAAAGCGAGAATAAGCGCTATAACTCTTTAATAAGCTATAGAATTTTTAAAACTTATTTAATTAAGAAAAAGCGAATAAACTTCTCTTATATTAAAGGTAATTAAACTATTATATACAATTAAAAAAGCGTTTAAATAGATTTAGCCTTAAGTTACTATAAGCGTTACTTTATAATATACCGCGTAAATACTTATTAAAGATTAAGAAATAAGTTATAAACCTAATAAATAAGAGCTAAATTCACGTGAGTTTCTTATTAATAGTAGCTTTAATTTTACTTATAAAAAAGCCTAATAAAGGCTAATAATTTTATGTTAATTATTATACCTTAAATAAAGTTATAAAGTAAAATTATTACTTACTTTTATTAATTAAGGAAATATTATAATCCCTTTTTAAAGCTAGGTAATTTATAAAGCTAAATATACGTTTAATATTCTATAGGCTTTAAGTTACCTTAAAAGAGAAGTATTTAATAGCGTTTTAAACTAGGTTTAAGTTATTTAAATAACTAGTATACTTATTTAAGCTAATAGGTACTCTTATAACGTTTTAACGTTATATTAATAGCGCCTTAAAAAAAATACTAAGGGATTTTATAATAGCTTATTTAAATAATATCTTAATTTACTTAAGTAGCTTATAAAAAGATTATATATAAAAAGTATATAAGTAAGTAGCTTATAAAAAGTGTAAGATTATAAGAGGGACTAGAAGTTAGGTAGCTAAAGTAGAGGTAGCTGTATTATAATAACTAAAGCCTATCCTATTCTCTAATTATGCGAGATGCAGGGGATATAGTCCCAAAGCCCCCGTTCCACGTGACGTTGTTAATCGCGTTGCAGGTGGGCGGGGTTCCCCAACTACCTTATAAAAAGATTATATATAAAAAGTATATAAGGTATTAATAAAACTTTACGTAATAAAGCTATACTTAAATATTAAGAAATACGCTTTTTACGTGTAAAAGGTAAAATATCTTAGGTTTATTATTTATACGAGTAAGAAAATTTATTTTAACTTAAAGAAAATAAAGGTAATATATAATTAAAAACTCTTTACGTATTAAAGGAAAGTATTATTAATATAATATTTAATAATATATTTTTAAATTATTTTATTATATAATTTATTTAATTTAATATTAATATTATTAGATTTTCAAAAGCTTTAAGAGTATCCTAGTGTTTTATAGCTGTCCCGAAATTTTGTGGCCAACTAAGTGGCTAGCCCACTTAGTTGCCAACGGGTAATTTAACCCGGTCCTACTCCGTACTGCGTGAGTCAGCAATATTACTCCGTAGATCAATTGATATCAATCTTCGAAGCACCGACTTTTTCTTGCTCCTTTTCTCAAGCCATCCGCCCGCCATGACGACTCGCAATCTACTCTCCGGTCCCGTCACTCTATCTGCCGCAACAGCGAAAAGCAGAAATGTTCTTCATGCTCTGGAATACCCGCAGCAGAAAGAAGATTTCTACAAGCGCATGGAGACCTATCGTCCTCTTTTGGCGGATCTTGTAGCACATCACCTTGGCACCAAACCAACGGACGTTACTATTTCTTCGCAAGATTACTGGCGCCATGGCTCTTTTAATCTTTGCATACCTGTCCATGTCAAGCCGTCTACGAAGTCGACACCCCCACAGTTGGTGTTGCTCCGCTTTCCGTTGCCTTATCGCGTTGGAGAAGCAGTGCAGCCCGGCAACTCGGATGAGAAGGTCAATTGTGAAGCTGCAACATATGCCTGGCTCCAAGAGAACTGCCCTTCAGTTCCTATACCGCAACTTTACGGCTTCGGGCTGTCTACTAACCAAAGAGTAAGTTCCTCAACTTTCAAATGCTAAGTTTCTAACCCCGTATAGTTCACGAATCTTGACTTCCTTCCGTGGTGGTCGCGCTGGTTCCAGCAAGCTCGCCGCTATTTTCTAGCTACTTTTGGCTTCCAACGGCCTTCACGATATGTGTGCCATCCCTCTAGCCGCTTTGCCGACCTTGATATTGGTTACCTGCTCATTCAAACTATTACTTCCGGAGAGATGCTTTCGGAATCCTGGGATAAAAAGCGTGACGATGTCCGTCTCCAAGACAATCTACAGCGAAGTCTCGCTAGGATAATGCTGTCGCTTGCAAGCGTTCCGCTGGCGCGTATTGGAGCATTCCGACTGGACAACAATGGGTATTTGCGACTGGATAATCGTCCGCTGAATGTTATGTTTACTATGCATGAGAACGAAGGCATTCCCCTTAATATTTCTAGAAACACAACCTTCTCTAGCGTTAATGACTTTGTCCTTGAGCATTTAGCGGCTTTTGACAACCGGCTACTCTACCAGCAAAACGCCATAACTAGCCGTGACGATGCGTTATACCAGATGACCAGTCTAGCTGCCGCAAGAGCTATATTCCCGCAAATGTTCCGGAGAGAGTTTTGTAACGGCCCTTTCGTGTTTACTTTGACCGATTTACATCGAAGTAACATCTTTGTTGATGAGGACTGGAATGTTACTTGCATCATTGACCTAGAATTTGCCTGCTCGTCGCCTATCGAATTTCTACAACCGCCATACTGGCTCGATTCTACGATCGTATATTACCCAACTACTACTCTTACTCTCTAGAAGAGCTAAGCAAGGCTGATTATGCATTCTTTGCCCGTCTTTGGCGCCCCAATATCGAGGACATCATTGTCAAGAAACTGCAAGACCGAGACACGTATTTGGAGAGACTTAATGCAGTCTTCACCGACTTTACATGAAGATGTTTGATTCGGATTTGCCAACTACACTCATTCACGTTCCGCCACTGCTTTGCTTTCGTGGAGGGGTCGGAGGTCTTGGTTGAGATGCTCTGTTCTTCCTGGCATCTTTCGCGGCCTGGCCGGATGATGACAGCTGTTTCGCCTCTTTCACTGTCATCGGAAACCCGAAAACGGGCTGCCGGGTCGCAGTTCCCTTCTGCACACCAGACGACGAGCTCGAGTTGCGTTGGTCTGACATATCGAGAGCTGAGCACTGGTTAAAATTGCCCCATGGACTTGTTTATCTCGCTTACTTTCTTGGTGATTGGGCTAAGAGCATGGAACCCCTTGGGGTAGGATGAGGGCACGGGTGAAGCTCTTTCTCGGGCGATTGTAGTTCCATTTATACACAAGGGGTACATACAGTTCCCCTGCTATATATCCTAGAGCCTAAATTTCGCTGGCTGACTCAGTACAGGCCAATAGTTCGCGCGCGGATGTTCGATTGGTCTCACCTTCAACCTGCTGCGTCAATACCATGCGTGTTCGTAAGTCACAGTGGTTCGCAAAATGCCTTCAGGCCAACGAGAGGCTAGCTCTTAGCCCGTCATGCATAGGTAGGTGAGAAATGTAACCCAACCCCTAGGCACCCAGCACAGTCTCAAGGACGCCAAGCCACGCCAACCAATCATTTGAGTGACGGACGGGCGTCATCCAAAAACCAAAGGGGCGTGGGAATCGCAGAGTGGAAGCTCATCAAAAAGTCCTAATCATCCAACAGACTGTGCGGGTGAGAATCCCTTGTGACCGATGCCTTTGTACATCTCGGAACCTGCGACTGAGGTTATTGTCCGACTCCCCGGCGGTCAGGAGCTCGTCGCCAGATTTCTCGTCAGGTTTCACATCCCTTGCTGGTGTTCCGGAGTGATGGGCATCATCACTCTGACCGGGCAGCACGTAATCACCTCGCCTGATGGCTGCAAGATACTCTTCTGGTTTGTTCTTCAAGGTGAATGTCTTCCTTGGACTCGAATAAAGCTTCAATAGCTAGAGAGGACTGGCTTTCGTTGCCATCTAATCAATAGCCTTATGAAAAAAATTTTCTAAAAAGAAACATACCAACAGAGCTAAATGTAAATAGTTCTGGCCGCGACGCCGAGTCGAGGTATTTCCGTGAAGTTAACGCGAAGGACTGAGTATGACACTAACGGCGCAACATGCAGGGTTACAGCGCAGTTGACACCTACATAGCTATGTGTAACTGGTCGTTGAAGATCGTAATCGCATGCACTAGTGACTGAATTAGACGAGACACAAATCGAATCGATGCACCCAAGAGCAGGTGTCTGTACAGTTCATGTGAACATGCTGCATATCGCATGTTGTTCTGCAGAGACTGCGACGCTGGCCGATAGGTTGCCTTCCCTCTGCCGCAGTGCCTACTCGTTGATGTCAATTCGTAGGCGGCCCATTTCGGGCCGGTGGAGTGAGCTACATGCGGCCGCCTTCAAATGGACACCCATCCTCAGTCAGCGGAATGAGAAAACGAAATAAAGCGCATATTGCAAAGTGACTCCGACTTAGCTACCCTCGTGGTGAGGACAATTGGATGCAAGATTCATCACGAGCACAGTGCATGCAGCAACAAAAAAAAAGCTGAGGATGCCCTCAAAAGTAAGAGTCTGGAATTCCAGCAGGTTCTTCAGCTAATAAAACGGTAGAGCTTTGCGGGGCAGCAGAACGTCTTGGCGTTGAGTCTCTATGGGCCTCACAAGACTTCCTCTGGGATGGCAAAGCTCCTGGCAGAAAGCTCAGATAATGAAGATGACGAGACTGAGGAGGGGATGTATTACGTTGACAGCTATGAAAGCAGATTAAAGAGTGGAATTATTCTTGGGATTAAAGCTATCTAGGTACGAAAAATAAGCCCTTATTTATAGATATTAAGGTTATTTAATAGGTTACTTAAAAAGTTATTAATTTAAGGGATTTTATAGTATTTAACTATTAAAGGTTTAACTTTAATAGGGTAATGATATAAGCCTTATAAAGGCTTTTTTATATAATTAAAAAGTAATTATTTAAGGCTTTTTAAAGCTTTTTAAGGTCCCTAATAAATAATAGCCTTTTTCTATTAAAAGGGGTTTTTAACGTTAATATACCCTTATAAATTAGGTTAATAGTTAGCTATTAAAGCTATTAATATTATAGGCTTAAGCTAATAGCTTAGGCTTAAGCTAGACCTAATATAAAGGTAGCTTAGACTTAACTTAAATAATTTATAGGCTAGGTAAAGATATAAAGAGAGATATAAAGAGAGGTAAGAAGAGAGAAACCTTTCTTTCTCTTTCTCTTTTTTCTTAAGTTTATTCTTACTTTTTAAAGATATATACTTATAATAATATAATATAATTAATTTTTAATAAAGAATAAACTTCTTTATAAATAACCTTAATAAAGTAATATTTAATATAAGATA